GTGATACGTATCTTGTTAAAACGTGATACGTATCACGTTTTAACAAGATACGTATCACGTTTTAACAAGATAACTATCATGTTTTAACAAGATAAGTATCACGTTTTAACGAGATACGTATCACGTTAAAACGTGATACGTATCTCGTTTTAACAAGATAAGTATCACGTTTTAACGAGATACGTATCACGTTAAAACGTGATACGTATCTCGTTTTAACAAGATTACTATCACGTTAAAACGTGATACGTATCACGTTTTAACAAGATACGTATCACGTTATAACGTGATAGCGCTCGGATTTTTTTTTTTTTCCTGCCTGATAGCAACACGCTTCCGTAGAAATTTATAAAGATTATGCAAAATAAGGTAAACTACAAAACATTAAGAGGGAGACTGGTTCAACCTGATCACGTTACTGTAAACGCAAGGCTGTCATTTCACTTTGCTCCAGTAGGGGGCAGAAACATTGAAGCGCTCCACGCGTTTTGTCTCAATGCGTCCGAAGAAGAAGAACGGGCGGACCAATAACAGCGCCCATTTCTGTGTTTTTGAATGAGACGCGGTTGACGGCTGCTCAAACACTTGTTTATTACATTCGTAAAGCTGGTTGAACTTGGCTTTTTCCATTGAAAAGGTAAGGTATTTCGATATAATTTAACTTTCGCTCTCCAGACGTTAAAGTAAAGATTTGTAAAATTAAATTAGGTTCGTGTTTACATAAACTAGCTTCAGCTAACGTAGCTTTTTAACGACAGAGATTGACAACGTTTCTAGGTTTACTGAGGATTTTTATTGAGTCAAATGACAGGTTTTGCTCTGATAAGACACACTTTTTAGTAAAACAAATCCATATACCCTGCTTTTTATTGGCTTTGGAAGAATTGCTCAATAATTGCTGTGTTTGAAAACAAAAAATCAGAGTAAAGTTGTTAAAGATGTTCCCACGGTTCATCTGAAGATAACATGGAAATTACAAGTTTAGTTCTAATTGACAGCGCAAAATCCAGAACACAGATGCTGACCAAAAATGATGAAACCTTATTATAATTAGGGGTGTAAATCACCAGCTTTATCACAATATGATATTACATCGATTTGTTTGGATGATGAATGGTGTAACGATACATCGATCTGATTTGACAGGTTAATGATTCAGTCGAGGCAAAATGAAAATACTGATCTATATCATTATGCTGCATGTAGATCAATATCATGCCCATCTAACACAGTCACGTAAGAGGGGCATATTATATTGCATTATATCAGTTACAGACTTGTGAATTGAATTTCATCAAAATCATATCGTGACAGACTTTCTGCTATCAAGAAATATCCCCTAATTATAATGTGTGGTTAATGTGGGGTATTTCAACAAATGAATTGCAAAACTATTTCTCCTGCAGCTGTGAGTAGTTCCTGAGAACTCCAGGGTGATGTCTTCCAGGAAGTCAAGTTCCAATAGGGAAGACCTGGTAAGACTTTTGTGCTTTGCTTTGCATGTGTAAGGTTGTCGGTGAGTAAACAAGCTTCATTCAACCTTTTGTGAATTTTAGTCCTCCAGCAGGTACGGAGAGCGAACGCCTCTTAGAAGCCTGAACAATGAGATCTTGTCAACTCCATCACAGAGGCTCAAGTTCAAATCTCAGCTTAGTGGTGATGCTATGAAAATGGCAATGGTGAGTTAATTCAAACGTTTGTAAATGTTCATTGTTTTTACTTTATTTGTGAAGTGAATGCAACACTCACTTTTACCAACAGGGTGGCAGTCCTCTCTGTAACTCTGATCCCCGCTTGGAAACCCACTCTTCCCCTGCTGATGAAACCCAAGCGGGTTCTGGACTTGGAGATGTGACATTTAAATCTTTTATTTGTGCCGGTGGCGAGGTTGAGATTGCAGGCTCTTCTGTGTGCACAGAAGGTGGACTGACTTTGTCTGAAGACGCAGCTGCAGACACCACTGAAGCAGAAGATTCAGCCGTCTCTCACAGCTTGATGGAGCCGTCATGCTGTGATCACGTAGAACACCCCTATTTCAGTCTTGATGTTGAACAGCCTCCCTCTGCTGGCATCAGTGCAGCTGATGTGTGTGAAATTTCCAGCAGGACCTTCTCTTTTTGTGACGTGGATAACAAAGAAGACGCTCAAGATTTACAAGCTTGTCATGCTGACTGCGGTGAGGAGAAACACGTCACTTTGAAATCGTTTGTTTGTTACGGAGGAGAGGTGGAACTTTCAGATACCACCAAGCTACACGAAGAGACCATTCCCCTTCCCGTGACGGACTTCATTGATTCATCACAACACAACAATACACATACAATTAACTGCTCTGACTGCGCCCAGCCATGCCAAGCGGAACATGTGGATCATCCATACTGTAACAGTGAAAATGGTAAAGCTCCTGACTTCACTACCTCTTCTGAAACAACATTAACTGAATTAACCCTGAAGCCATTTAACTGCACAGGTGCTGAGGTTGAGACGTCAGTGTGTGCTGAACATATTGACGAGACTGTTCCTCTACCATTTACTCACACTGTTTCCAGCTGTGAGACATACAGTAATAGTGTGGATCCCAGTGTGTCAGCTGGCGACGATGGTTTGCAGAATAATAGTGATCGTTTAGATAATCCACACTGTACCATAAAACACAATTCCATCAACGTTTCCACCAATCAGGAGGTGTTTTTCTGCAGCTCCAAAGCTGTTGGAGTTGAGCCAATGATGGAAAGTGAAGGACAGGATGTTGCTCATGAACACTCCGTCGTTCTACTTCCAGCTGAGGATGGGAAGTCTGATGATAACGAGGTTTTAGAGAAGCTCCCTCCATTTCAAACCCAGTGTGGAAACTCTCAACCCAGTGATGACTCCGTGTCTACTTCACTTACACAGGATTTTATAGAAGGAGCTGAAAGCCACCTGGAGAACAATGAAGTTGTGGGTGAGCCATATCTGCCAGTGGATACAGGATGCTTACTGACTAATATGTCTTTAAAAGATGTGAATAACGACAAAGTAAAGTATGAAGTGCAAGAAATTGCAGAACCTTCTGAGGACAATGCGTCGCCTTCGGTGGTTCGTGGAGATGAAAGTTCTGACAGCAGCTGTCTTACAGCTTCAGCAGGAATTCCTGCACATCAAGAAGCGTCTGAGTTTTTGCATTATCTAGTGCAAGAATGTTCCACTAATGAACCTCCTGAATCCAGCGGGGGACAAGACAGTGCTCTTGGCTCATCCACTAACAATCCAGCTATTTGTATGTCAACAGCAAAACCAATGGAGGACCTTCATGATTTTTTGAAAGTCCTATCAGAGTGTCCCTCAATTTCCTCAGCCTTGCAGTTGGGAGTGCTCAGTCCTGCTCTAAAGAGAGCCTCTTTATCTCTGCAAAAAGCTCCCGGGTATTTGCCCCAGAACAGGTTTTTGGCTGACAAGTTTGCTCTTGAAGGTGACAAAAGCTTGGTGTCTCACGTTAACCCAGAGCTCTCTAAATTATGGACAGAGCAAATTGAAAGCCCCATGCCTCATCCTCTGTTCAACTCCACGGCAGTAGGTTGCCTCTCTCAGCCAGGTTCGGCCATGAAACAGAAAGAAGATTCGGGGAAAAGGTTCTGTGCTTTGCCCCAGGCTGAAGGCGTTCCGTTGATGCCCGAGGCTCAGCTTCAGCAGCAGCTGCGACAGATAGCAGAGTTCCTCATCCTGGCCTCTGGACAGATGAGTGCTGCAGGACATTCTGCTCCGCCCACAGGATCTCACAGCGTCTGCGTCGGCACCAGTCCTGCAAAGCTGGTGGACCACAGCCTCAACACATCTGGAACATTTGTGAGAAGTAAAGAGTTACCTGTGGTGGACTCCTGCACTGAGACTGACCCGCTTGTCTGGAAGTGAGTGCTCGCTTTCTGAATTTGCAGTTTCTTTCCTCTGGTTCTTTTGAGATTACGCTGCTTCTCATTGTTGTTTTATTTATTTACCTTTTTTTTTGTTGATGTGGTCTCAGTTTATCACCAGGCAGCTTGGAGAGTCTACCCAGAAAGGAGCTGGAGCAGAGGTTGGTGTCCAGCCTGATCATGGTAGAGGCTCTCGCTCAACAGTTGACTGCAGCGAGGGCACAGCAGGGCGTGTCTGCAGGTCCTGCGCCTTCAGACCTGAGAGAGAAACTGGTGCAAACTGACCACACTGAACTCAGTCAGGTAAAAACACACAAAACACAGTAACAGTGAAACATGGACCAATAAAAGGCTACAGTTCATGGGCATTGTGCTTCATATAGACCACAATGTACAGAGACCTGTATGCAGAGGCTCTGAGTAGGATCAGTGACTTGGAGCTGGATGGAAGCTCTCTGCAGAACCTCATCCAGTCTATGCAAGACACAAAGACTTTTATGGTGAGATGCTACAAATCCCTCTCAACCTTTAAACACTTTAATTAAAAAAAAAACAACAACCTTTCATCATTTCATTTGTCTTTTTGTGTCCCTGCAGGCGGCTCTGAGCGGTGACACGGATGCTGCTCTCTCTAACATGAAGGAATGGCGTGACATTGTCAGAGAGGACCATCAGAACCTCGCTTCACACGTATGGAAACTTTGCATCTCTCTCAACATCACAGACTAGCTTTTTTATTTCTTTTTTTGTGCATGTCTGCAATGCATTTCACTTCATTCTTCTGTGGTGTTAGTATGAGCACATGAAGTCCCTGTTTGAGAAATCGAAGGAGATGCAGATGAGAATGACGCAGAAGGTAAAAGAAGTTCTTCATGAGAGGGAGGACATGAGGACTCAGATGGAAGAGGCCTTCACAGCCAAGGATGCTGTAAGCACTTTGTCCTCCTTCAAACAAGAGGTTTTATGATAAATGTGACATTTAGCTGCACGTGTTCACTGTGTTGTCCCTCCTCAGGCTTTCTGTGCGATGGAACAGCTAAGGATGCACTGTGCTGCAGAAATTTCAGCTCTGGAGAAAAGTGTTGGATCGCAGAAAGAACTCTTGGCTGCCTTAAATCAAACATATCCAGAGCAGGCACGCAGAGGAAACCAAATTAACTTTTAGGTTGTTTTAAACGCTAGATTTAATTCATGCTCTTTCTTCTCTTGTATAGGTTGCATTAAACAAAACAAGTAGCGAAACACTGAACGCTGCCTCTGATATTTTGTCCCAAACAATGGAGGAGCACTCCAGCTTGATGAACGAGGTATGTTTGTTGTATTAAATGTTTTATGCCTACGTTGTAGTTAATACTAACAAAAGCAAACCAATGCATACCATTATCTTTGAATGTGAGGAGCTTTTATGGCCTTGTTTTAACTTTAAACTTTTGTTACAGCTCCACAGTGTCAGGATCCTCCTACAGAAAACTGCCCCCATCCTCTTCCTTCTGAACGAGAAGACAGCTGCAGCTTTGAGAGAAAGGGACGAGCATCGTTCTGCAAGAGACCGAGCTGTTGAGGACCGAGAGCAGGTCAGGTCTTTTGTTTTTCATTTGGACGTTTTCACCACCCGTGTCTTCTGTCTATTTATCTCAAGTTTTTGTTTTCCTCAACAAACCTGTACTCAACAGATTGAAGAAGAGCTGAAAGAAACAAACTTAAATCTCCAATCTGCCAGACAACAGATTGGAGATTTAACTCGGGAGGTGACAATTCTGACGTCAGGTAAAAAAACTGAAATGAATGTAAACCTGTCTGTGGTTATTTTATTCCCTATTTACAGAGTTATTGTTGCTCATAAACAATTTTTTCTGGACTTTTTCCCTCCTATTAGAAATTAATGTTCTGCGCCAGAAACTTACAGAAAAAGAGGATGAGACGAGTCAGCTGGAGAGGAAGGTGACGGAGTTGTCGGCCACTACTTCCTCCACGATGGCGTCCTACACGTTCCTGGAGCAGGCTCTCATTGCTGAGACTTCCAAGTATGACCCATTCGCCAGGAGGACCGGTGGTCAAGCAAAGCATCTTGATTTTACAATGTAACTTTTTTCGTTCTCGTTCTCAGATTGGAACAATCGTGGAAGGACATCAAACAAGCCAATGAGAGAGCAGATCAGTGAGTGGTGACAAGAACATTTGAATATTTCTAAGTGTGGGTTTTAGGAAAAATGTAATTTAATAAAAACTGCTTGGACGTGTTGCAGTAAAAACCCAGTTTCTTGTTTTGGATGTTTTCCAGGTTGGAGGCGTCCCTGCAGGAGTCAAAGGAGCGTGTCTGTGAGCTGACTGGAGCTCTGAGTCAGAGCGAGGATCACGTCGCTCAGCTGCAGACCCTCACTCAGTCTCAGAGTTTGCAGATTCAGCAGCTCCAGGATGCTTGTGCACAACTCAGAGGCGTGCAGGAAATGAACGAGGTTAGCTTGTAGATTATGTTGGTTAATCTTTCTGTAACTTTAGGGCTACCATCGGGGGGTTTTATGCTGTCTGCCTATTTATTTATTCATTTTTAAAACGATTCAGGATATGTTGGGGGTCATACATGTACAGGCTTTTTTCCCACTATTTTCCCCAACATTAAGAAATATTTTACATTTTTAGGATACGACATACCTAAATTTCTCAATTTACCTGCTACCATATGACGAAATTATAACGATTCAATGTCATATTATAGATTGACTGGATCAAAATATTGACCTTCAAATTACACCTATGAGTTTCTGATTATTTTACTAATTTCTACATTTTCTTTTCTTTTTTGTGGCACTTGCAGAGGTTTTGTAACATGTTTAATTTTAATATGTGCAGAATGTTTTAAAAACACCTTATTTAGTTTTTTTTCATTATTTTTCTGTGATTTGGCTGCAAAGATGACCCCATTTTTGAACTCACTTGGGCTGTTCTCCTTTTAGTGCTTCTAGGTAAAAGGCTGTATGTTGTAAACTGTACTTATCGGCTTTTATAAAAACAGAGGACCAATGTTAAGGCCTTAGTCTTGTACTATAGAGTACGTTTATGTGTTTATCTGATTTATGATTTTAAGTGTTTTCTGAATAATATTCTGATCTAACCTGTTCTCCATCCGTGTGTTTCAGTTCCTGCAGATGGAGAATGAGTTGGCGCAGGAGCAAGTAGCTGAAAGCGAGCGAACGCTGAGGATGAACCTGCAGGCACTCCGGGAGAGGAACATCGAGTGTGAAGACCTTAAAGAGGACTTTTGTAAATTCCAGTAAGTTTCAGTGAACAATCATCGTCCTGTTTTCGTTTGTCGCTGTCCATCACTCTGGTTTTCTGTGCAGGTCAACAAGGTTCTAGTTGGTTCTGTTGGTCTTCTGAGCCGAGTTGCTCTAAGGTTGTTTCAGATGTTTCTTTGTGCGTATTGCAGAGAGGAGAACAAGAATCTGTGCGAGGAGCTGAAGACGACGAGATCTGCAGCCAACGCGGCTCAGGCGGAGCTCGAGGAAAAAATGGCTCAAGTGGTCACTGAGATCACTCTGCTGCATCACACACTGCGGGGGGTGACCAACGAGCTGCACGCCGCCCTCAGTGACCAGGTAACGAGGAGTACGCTAACACAGAACCTCTCAGGCGTTAGAACCACAAACTGTACACACACACAAGCTTTTGTTGCAGGAAATAGTTTTTGGCGCTGCTTAAGCTGTTTTCCTGTTAAACAGTAATAGGAATAATAAACCTGTTCAGTAAATGGGATTTATCATGCTGTATGTACATTACTTCCTTCTTAGAAACAAGACCAGAAGGAGTCAGAAGTGCTCTGCAGCGTTGAGCGTCGTCGTCTCTCCAGCTCCTTTGTGGACAGCGTCATGGTGGCATTAACTGCTGAGACCGGCGAAGATGTCAGAACTGACACATCTGCTGCGTCCGGTACTTAAAACCATCACATTTGTTTTCTTAACAAAAACAAGTGCAGCATATTCATATTTATTTACTAGGCCCTTCATTTCTGAGGTTTCCAGTGGTAGGCTTGTTTTAAAATGCTTTTTAACCTCTTAAAGGGGCAATATTATATGCGTTTCTCAGGCATACATTTAAATACTATACCATAATAAAGCATCTATGTCACCTTTAATTGTTATTAAAATGCTGTTTTTATGTTTAAATAGAAAATAAACGTATCTTCTCATCACTTCCTCTTCTAAACGCCTTGAAATTGGCCTCTGTCTCTTTAAGAACCATCGTCCGCTTCTGAGGATAATTGATATAATGTATTTTTTGATGTGCAGTGTATTTCTATTATTAAGTTGAATAAAAAAAACACAGATTTCACTGAATTTAACTAAAAGTTGAATAAAACTATCTAAATTTTTGGCCTCAGAAAGCTCTAAACGTTTCAGTTTTAGAACCTATAAAAGTAACATTTGTTAGCAAATTATTTTCCTGTTTTGTAAGATTTACAGCTAAAAATATTCTGTTAAAATTACTAACACTCACAGTAACATTGAGAACAGATCTGCATCTTCGTCCACAGGCTGTAGTTGTAATATAAATGTAGATAAATGAGTCACAAGACATGAAGCTAACAGTTTTAATATTTTTTCTTTCATTTCTACAGGTCCTCCTGTACCACAGAGTGAGCCTTTGTTCAGTGAGACAAGCGCCTTCACCCTGATTACAGCTCAAGCGTCTAAAACCAGTTTAGGTGCAGAAGAGGAGCAGCCGTGCGACGTGGCCGACCTTCTCTCCGGCCTCGGCGACACCGCCTCCGAGCTCGTCGGCGCGCTGAAGTCACTGCAGCAGCGCAGAGACGGTCAGCTGCACGAGCTGCACGACATCATGTGAGTGAACTGTGTGTATGTGTGTGTCTTTAATACATTAGAAATGAGTTGTTTCCAATAACGCAGTAAATTTGGTAAAGCTCAGATATCCTTTAGCAGCTTTTCACCAGCCTTGAATGCAGCATTACACTGGTGAATCATGAGTGTGAAGAACCAATCTGTGCGCTCAAGTCGACTATCCTGTCTGCAGCAGGTGATCCGTGCACACGATTTGGATAGTTTGCACACAGAGCATGTTCCTACTTATGCAGTTTGATGTGTACATTTAGAAAATTTGTATGCATTTGCGATGCAGTTTATGCATATAGATGTTGCACGCTTTTGAGACTAGTTTTTCTTCTAAGAAAGAGTGGAAATGTTTCTTGAAAGTAAAGGTTTGCAGGCCTCTGGTTTAATGAAGAAATTGAAAAATCAAATAAAGATCCTTCTGATGTGGTTTATTTTTTCAAACTGTATTTATTTTGTCCTATGTGATGATTTTGATCTAAATCTAGATTTCTAAGATTCTTCTGACAGTAAATGGTGTCATTCCAGCCGCAGCCTGCAGGCGGAGCAGCAGACTGCCAGCAGCCACCATCAGGCTGAAGTGATGGAGCTGAAGCATGAGCTCAACCGTCTGCAGAACCTGGCAGAAAGAGGGAACCAGGCTCTGCAGCAGAAATCTCTGGTCAGGACTGCTCTCACACTGATCATTACTTCCACAGAATACCACAAGGATGATCTGACAGGTGTTAACATCAGCCCTTTATTTTGTTTTTTAAGGATGAGAAAACCTTGACCAAGTTGATGGCAGACGTTCAGGAGGCCCAGGAAATTCTGAACAAACGCAAGACTGACAATCACGTAAGAAATAAATACAAAGAAGTGTGATTCCTCTGCTTATTATACACATTTTTGTTCTCATGTTTATGT